TTAAAAGATAAAACGAAACACGGTTTATCACAATCCGGCAGAGTGAGGAGGATCACATGAACGACGCCATAAAATCACAAATACACTCTGGGGAATATATCTTTCCACATCACGAATAATAGTAAATCGATTCGGGAACCCATAAAACAAGCTACATGTTATACATTGCAGAAGAATTTGACTGTTTAAACGCATTGTTTACTATATGATGCATTGCGTTGTACAGGAGTCGCGAACCACATTAGCTCTACGAGTGTTTACGTCTTCCCTTCATGACAAAGATGTGGGTTTTATGTTTCTGCCTTTCTCAGCAAATCTAGATTTTTTTTGCGCTAACTTGGTATTAGATTTTACTCTTACGTCTATGTTTCACTGCAGATTGGAATACGTAATTTTACACGATATTGGACGGGAAATGAATTATTCAAATAATTGTCACTAAATGAGTCATTTCACATGTTTTTCATGGGATCATTCATATCTGAATCATCACCTATATCAGATGAAAATATTCTTTATGTATTCTAAACTTTTAGTTTAAATTAACCTATACTCCATGATTTTTTCCCTGAAACAAATTCCATGTGTATATATCCCCTATCATATCTAAAATAAAAGACCTTTTACACAAAACCGCTAAACATCAGATTTTTAATATCAAAGCTTTTAGTTCTTAAGAAGCACTTTGCATTTAATGAAATTACGTTAAATAATACATATTCAATATGTTAATGTTTTTCACTAAAATAACTGACACTTATTTTTCAGATACTTTCCAAAATAACATTCAGTAACATGTTCACCCAATCCATAAAAATACATTCATTTTGTTTGTAAAGCTTACCTGTAACATTCCATACTTATCATAACTGACATTCATGATGTCAACAATAACTACATGACGTGTGTACCTTACCCAATACCACTGTCATCTCCCTTGTTTTAAATCTTCATTAAAACAAGGCATAGTTTGTGCTTGGCGTTCGTTTGAAATCATGCAATATTGTAAATTAGGAAATTTGTTTTGACGATTCTCCGTATCTATCTTATGCCATTCATTTCGATCGTCTGTTTCCTCCTTAGCTTCAACATCCAGGCTATAGCGTGTCCTAGAAGGACGAAACAGTTGTGTTGAGCAATTTAATTATTTATCATTTGGCTATAATGTATCTAATGTGGCATTTACCTATAGGTCTTTTGTAGAATCAAAAAGATATTTCTATAAGGAAAAAGTATCAAGCATTGCTCTGAGATAGGACAATACAAGCGAATGAAAAACAAATATATAATCTTGTGTTCTCATATTGTGCTTCTGTTGAACAAAGACAGACATTTTAGTAGCAAGAGACAATAAACCTACACAGCTATATAGAGTGCCTATTCAATTACAATATCGGCCGACGTTTGCGTTGTACAAGTAATGATTACGAAATTAAACGTTTTACTTCTTTTTGTCGGCTGCAGTTTGGAAAAGATCAATGATTAAATTTCCGAAAAGGTTATTGCGATTTTTTTAAGAATGTACATTCAATTTGTTTTTAAATGAGTTTTACAACGGAACGTTTGGTTAATATAGTTTTGTATTATTCTACTGTCTACTGTTTTATTTTCAGACATCTTATCAGAAAATAATCTCAAGTCATAAAGAATGGTATTGTTGAAAACCAATACAGGATTTTGTTACTTGTACGTCGACGCTGTATATATACCTTATATCATCGCTTAGATAGGTCTCAAATTGCATTTCCGAGTATGTTATACACATCATTTCCATTATTCGATTTAAATCTTGTTGCATGCAGTTAAACTACTCGCATTCGATGACAGTGATATATTTTTATTTGTTCAATATGGTTTGTGATATGGTGTGTGAAACGGGATCCCAACGATAAGCTCCTTCAGTTTAAAAATTCGACAGAAAAGAATCGAAAGAAATATGCGATAGATATAATCCTTACATATCTGTCATGGAGTCCATTTATGATATCGAATACATAACTTGATGATTTCTCTATTTACATCTATTTTGAGATACCTAATCTTAAAATTACTAACATGTCGTATAGATATATATTTGATTCTTGTATAAAAGACTGGAAAAGTGAATAGAACATTTCAATAAAAATTAAAACCAGATGCAGTATGCACCCTGTTTCGTCCTTCTAGGACTTGGTCGAAACAAATGTTGAAATACAGATTAGGAGGTGTACTCCTTCTTTCGATAGTGGATATTTTGAATCCAGCACCTTGGGGGTACCAAACATCGGTTTTCATATCCGACAAGGAAACAGAATTTTCTCCTATAAGATCTTAATAACAACAGTTAAACTTCCTCATAATCTTCATCATAGCTCATAACAGACAACTGCAGAATGACTTAAGGGATTAACTGTGATTTGAAATGACACAGTATGACATAAAAAAAAAACTTCAAAACAGAACGAAGCCGAAATAAATGGTATTTCAGCAATTAGAAACAAATACAGAAATCTCAGAAATGACACAAGGCTATGTCTGTTCAATGACTTTGTTCTCAATTATTTTTATCCAATGGACACGGTGTTTTCAGGAAATGATTTGCAAATCCTTAACTGAAGCGAAGCCTCTCTTATAATGTGACCTTCCATTGAAGTACACTGACAATGGTATTTTGTTTTAATTTCACAAATTCTTACACATACGACATTGAACTAATTGGTAATTTCATTTTGATTACTGAAAACCTTCCTTATGTCAGTTTGTTTTAAATCCTTCAAAGATGTAAGATTTTTGAAATTTTAATTGCAGAAATGTGACATGGTGTGACTGGGAAATAAAGAAAGGTAGGAAAAACAATCTTATTTCGCATGTTGATGGAATCAATTCACGAAAAAGTGCCACATATTTCAAAATATCACTAAAACTGTGAAATAAGAGTTCTTTGTGTGTTCGTATTGTAACAAACGTTAAAGTATGTTGCCGCCGTGATATTTCTATCTGTAGGCCAAATTGTAATACATCAATATCTTTGACGATTTAGATATGTTGGACATTGCAGCATGCGTTTTGGTGTGTTGGCAAAGTTATATTTGATTTGATGTATTGACTTCGTGATATATAAAAAAAGATAATATTGACGTCGTGAAATAAACTGTCCTGATGTTTTGACATTGTACTCAAACATGTCTTTGTTCAATGACAAAGCGGTTACTATAAACAGCTTATATTCATATTTTTATGGCAAAATCATTCGCTTTGCATCCAAAATCGATTAAAATTTCCAAAGAATTAAAAATTTATTGATCCAAGGCGTTTCATCTAAGAATCGGAGACATTTAGTGAGAATTTATAACCAATAATTTGTTCTTAAACACTACAATCGTAAACGGGACAACGATTACGTTTTGAAATTAATTTCAAAACTAATTTGTTTAAGTCCACGAGTGAGCTGATCAGATCTTTACTTGTGAAGATTCCAGCATTGGATTTCAGTTAACGCACTGTGATTACAATCAGGTAATGTTGTGTTACAACTGATTTAGGATGTTTTTATCTCTAGATCTAGGGAATCGTCTACATAAAATCGTGTACATTTACATTTACAGGATTTAATTTCGAAATAGTCTCGCGAGACTGAGGTTCCGAGATAGAGACATGTCATATCGATTCTCGTGTAAGATAAGGTATATGTTTTATCAAAACCAGACATCGCCATTCCCATGTAATCCCCTAAGAATAAAAACATCTAATGTCTTTATATGATATATATTTTTTTTTCATTTTCATTTCATTTTCCAGCAGCAACAGCAACAAGACCAGATTGACAAAGTCAGCTAGGTGGTTAAATCTATTTAGAATTATTTCATTTTTAGCTATATGACAAAAATGAAATATATATTTTACCACTGAGCTGCTTTCAGTTGGCATTCATTGGAGATATGATTAAAACCCGAACATGAGTAAATTCAAAGAAGCGCGAAACGTTATGTCTGAACTTGACTAAACTCAAATGGCATTCTTTAATATCAATGCAATAGCTGCAGTTTAACATTTTTGTGTATATCATTCTCATTTTGCATCCAGTAATAAGGAAGGATAACCTCAGTTTGTTTATATTACTTGCACTACTCCTAGTCTGAGTAGTAGCAACTTTTGTGGGAAAAACATATAAATAAAATCTATCACATAAACCTGTGAGAAGCTCGTTAGTTTTAATTTTGTGGTTGTTCTTGCTACTTATCCAAACCTGGTCTCTCGTTTTAAGTGTATGAGGTAGTTGGGTTTGGGTTTTTTTCCTGCTCAATACGACCTTTCTACTACAATTATGTTTACAAAAGGACATGACATTGCCGATTACTGTATTTTCTTGTTACGTCATCAGTTCTTGTGAAATGGATAATCGTTTTTTGTGTAATTCTGTCCCGAATTAATCAAAGTTGCCATTTATAAGTAATTGAGTATCATTTAAATGAGGACAATTAAAAGTAAAAATAATTGGTTCTTCTGTTAATCATATTTTGTTGACAAAGAATCAATTTGAAGTGGAAAGAAATAACCGCAGATATTTACTGCATGCCTTCTCAGATAAATACAAGGAAGCCTGTTATCTGGCATACAGTGAATTACGAAATTCAAGCTTGACTATGCTTCCTCTCAATAACTCTTAAAATATCAAGAATTTCAAACAAGATAAGTTCTGGTAGAGAAAACTGTTATTTCAAATTAAATCCATTAGTGTAACGCAAAAAACACTTCTTAACTCGATTTTTCGTAACAAAATACCGGAAACTTGTTACATTGTATTAGTATTTCCACAGGATATCCGGTTTGACTAAGCACCCGCATTCCATTAAATAGTCTTTTTAGTACAATTCACCCCAGAGAAGAAAGTTTATGTCTCCGTTAATATCATGTGTCTGAATTTAATATATTTTATTCTTCTGAAGTACACTCGACCCTAAAAGAAATGTTAAACATGTCAGGTGCAATCATGTATGTAAGTGTTGTTTATTGGTACTTACGAGCTGTAGCGAGTTGGAAATTGTCAGCAACTTCAATAGTTTTAGTAGACCAGGCCAACTCGAATTTTTTGTCCTGCCTCTGATTGTATAGATCGCATGCTAAACGGAAACTGGAACGGAGTTGTTGATCTTGAGCATTGAAAATAGTCCCTGTGAGAAAGGAAAAGTGCAACATAAGATAGATTGTGTGAATTGCGTGTAAACAGTTCATACATATAATCGATATGAAATTGAATTTGTTTCTAATTTAAGAAAGTTCTGTAGTTCGATATGCCGCAATGACGTGCTCAGTAATTACATTACATTAAATATGTTTATGGAATTATTTATATAATCGACTTTTAGATACCAAAGAAAATGTAAAACACAAAAACCAATTTACTTTAGAACGTATTGGAAATACGAAAAGTCATGAACAAGTGGGTTTTCTTTCAATGACACTGAAAACTGTTTATTTTTGGGGGAACTTTATTTTCCGATGATTTATTGGTCACCTTCTCTTGTCTCCAAGAATTCATAAACATTTCAAAATCAAGATGAATATTCATTATTTATCAGAAGCCACTAAAATACTTTTTACAATGAAATTTAAGGCTCACGATAAAAGATAACTTCACAGTATTGTTGTATGTCGAGGAGGGTCTACATGTATGATATAAATTCTAGTAGGAAACTTTACCTTCTCTTCTGACAAGATTCCGTTAATTGCAATGATTGAATGCTAAAATAACGTGTTGTAGGACATATCGGAACCTGTGGCTTCGCTAAGTAATTAAATTACACATTTTCTTGGCGTCGTAGTTCTGTTAAAAAACGAAGCCGAACAAATTTGTTAGTCTTGTCTAGGTTTTGTGTTTAGGAAGACGACATATATTTTCCTCTGTTAGCCAAGACTAACACCTTTCCCTCCCAAAGATATTGGGAACACGTGCTGTCGGTATTCCAGCCATAATTGGTTTTAATGCAACGTAGCATTCAGTTGAGAGCCGATGACACACATAAGGCAGACATGGTATGACCTGTTTCAAACGGTCGATATTTCAGTATGTAAATCACAAAAAATGGTCAGCACCTATTGTATAGTCAGATCAAGGCGTGATACGGGTAATCTGCGTCATAAACAATTTCCAAAGATCGTTTCAAGGCATGCGTTATATCTCTTTAAAGAGTCTCGGCGTAAATTTGTCTTCAGAATTCAACCAGGAGGGATTTTGTCTTCAGATTGCATTAATTAACTAGGACGAACGAGAGATTTCAAAGGGATTTGCCTTCAGAATTCATGGGTTAACAAAGTAGAACAAGCGATTTCAGTGGGATTTTGTCTACAGAATTCATGGTTAAACAAGGTAGAAGAAGCGATTTCAGTGGGATTTTGTCTTCAGAATTCATGGTTAAACAAGGTAGAAGAAGCGATTTCAGTGGGATTTTGTCTTCAGAATTCATGGTTAAACAAGGTAGATTAAGCGATCTCAGTGGGATTTTGTCTTCAGAATTCATGAGTGAACGAGGTAGAACAAGAGATCTTAGGGTGATTTTGTGTGATCTTTACTTGTTCCTTATCAGATACGATTCTTTTACTTCTGTTGTTGTCATTCTCTATTTGCTCTTGAATATATGAAACGAAACTTGAACATTTCTCTGAAGAAATAGCATTGATAATATTTAACAGCCAAATCAAAGATGGTAATTTGTTGGTCATTTTGCTTTTTCTGAATCAAACGAGCACAACCAGTAGGACCAAGGGTGGGGGGGAATCCATATTTCTATATATAAATCATTCTGAATATCTCTAGAGATAGCGATAACAAATATTCATAGTAAAAATCAAAGGTGACAGCTGTGAACAGACGGGCGAAGAACGATTTAATTAGCCCTCCATCTGATAATGATGGTCTGTAAAATGAAACTAATATAATTTGTGTTAATTACAGTTCTTAGGTTGTATATTCTTTTGATAATCACTATTTATGCATGTATTAGTGTAGGGATATTTCTCGTACTTACCTATAGGAAGCGTCAATGGACCGCCAGGCATATTTGTTGTGTTATTGACCGCACGGATATGCCGTAATCGATGCTTGTCTTGGTAAATGTTAAAGCCATCATCTAAAAAGAAAATATGTTTTTTTTTTAGTTAGGAATATTGTTTGAATTTACTTAATTTTATCAAACAGCAATTACAAAACTGTAACCATATCTCTACCGTTTTATGTATTGTTTTGGCTAAACTAATTACACCTGGTTATCAATGAGAATGAAATCATTCGGATTGTGGAATGGTTTTGAATCTACAAGTACTAGGTGTCTTCCAAAATAATTAAATATTGAAAAGTATGAATTTGATATTTGACATTTACATTGTATTTTTACCCATTTTGATTTCCTTCAGTCGCCTACAAGGCTTTAAGGCCATCAGCTTCACTGACAAGTCCTGGAAAGACGAAGCAGCTGTAGGATGTAGTCTTGTTTAATATACTAGGCTATATTGTGTTCTAAATTTGTTGCGAGATGTTCCATTCACATTTGCGTCTTTAGTACAAACCTGTCATCAGAGACTTTGGTACAAATGTCTTTTTAAAGTGTCTTACCTCATAATACGTTCCAAACCCTAATCAATGATGGCTAAGAGATAAAGAACAGTTAAGATATATCAAATTCAAATGTGTGTGTCTGTTTTATTTCAACTCATCTGAGTATTCCTTCTGGAAAAGTAAATTAGCGCATTGTAATCAAATTATAATGTTATTGTGCGTGTTTCCATCACATTACCTTTTTTCCCATAACACAAACTATAGCTGTGCTCAGTTCAAGTTAAACACGGAAAACACACGAACAATCTGTGTACAGAAACAGAACTGCCTTTCCTGGGAATACAAGATTATCACGAGTGCTAGCAATGTCGCCCGTGATTCCGTATTCTATACATCACGTGTAAATCTCAATCCGCTGCACAGCACCGAAAGCAATCTGTAAAGCCAGCATATTTGTACGGTGTGTGAGAGATGCTGGACAGTTTACATGTAGATGGTTGTACTTTAATTTTACAAACCCGGTGTCAAAGTGATTAGACGCCTGTAAGCTCGCGGGTTGTCTGATTACTGACACAGTGTGATTACCCCTTTGGAAATACAACACAAATTCTAATGTCTCTCGTGCCCTTTATTTTGAGATCTCTGAGACGGAACACATCAATTTTAAGTTGACGATTGGTTAAAGGATTTGTAATGCTAGGATTGCTCTAAAAAGACCATGAATTGTGGACCTAAGAATTAATATACATACAGATATATATATATATAATCAATCATTTATAATACGCTAATTCAATATGCTGATATTTTTCCCTTAAGTATGATATTTCGGAGGGGGATTTCTAATCATTCCAACGCCCATACATTGAATGTGTCTTACTATCAAAATAGGTGTTTATTCCAAATATAACGCCAAACCCATTCATGAGACAAAAACATATTGCTTGCATGACAGAATGTATTATCATGTAGAAGGCGTCTACAGTATAGAATAGCTGAGCAAGTACCTGAGCATCTTGTTAACACACTAATGTGTCGCCACATTTCTGAAAACGAGCACTAGAAAAAATTAATGTAAGTATATACAAGGCACGTGAGTGAAAATAACGTGTCAGTATGATCTGGACCAGGAAGTCAAAAACTAGAATGGGAAGGAGATTTATATATATTGATATGTCTATCCATTTTGGTTTTTAATGTTCGTGTCAAATGGAAGCGTTTCAATCAACTGAAATTAAAGACCTTTTCTTTGTTAAAAACGGAGACTTTTGTTATAGAGGTCTATATAAGTAATCACTATACATAGCAGTGATACAATTATAATATACAAGATATATATGAGGATGGTACATTATGAGTAGGATGTACTCAGGTTTACATAAAGGATTGTCTGGAAAATTGGTTAATACTGCTAGAAGCATGCTGAATACAACTATAATAAATATATATTGATATAATATCTGTGTACTTTTATCAATATTGAATGCATAGTTAAATATTGTCAACTATGGATAGAGACAGAGATCAGTACAAATTTGAAACAGTTTTGCCTATATTTATATTAAAAATTCAAAATTCGCTGAATTATGCGGCTAGAACAACTTCCCATCTTTCCGTTTTTTTTTTTTTTTTTTCTTTCAATCTCACTGTATTTTCCTCATTAGACTCCTATGTTTTAAAATGTAGTCTCTTAGCATTACCGAAAAGTTCAGAAGAATAAAACAGCTGTTTGATTAATTTTATTCGATTGTTTAACACCATTGTACCTAATTCTAAATTGTGAAGAAATGTGTTATTCACTTGTAGGACTTTTTTTTTTACAATCTTCCTATGTATTTTATAAATGTGCTTATATGTGTTATCATTTGTCAGATTGACATAGGTTTCTGATTGCATGAATTTCAAAAACATAAACTTCGTGAATATTTTAACAGATACTAAGACGAATTCCTGAGAACGTGATACACACAAACTGATGATATCACAATGTAAAAAGTGATGATGTCATGTGATAAAGATTCTCTTAGACATTCCTCAATGCCTCTGGCCCCGGTTGTTACAGTGCTGGTTTGTAATGCCTAGTGGCCTGTGATAATATGCAAAACGAATCAGACAAGATTGGTAACATTTTTTAACATCCGTAAATATGTTGGGACATGCCAGGTCGATATATGTTGAGTGTTAATTTTGCCTTTATTGGTCTGGGTCGTGCTTTTTTCACTATCTACTAACTAACTCTAACTGATCTTTGAGGAAACATGACCTTGTTTTTCAGTGTCTTCTCAGTCCCTATCTTGGGTTTGTCTATTGTCTTCCCAATATGCTTCATGACCTGAAAGTACTGTTTTCAGGTTTTTTCCAAAGCTAAAAAATATTAATTATACATTCTGTAATCGTTTAGTGATTATTTTCACAATAAAAGACTGTATTTGAATCTGGTGAATTATATTTTCTCATAAAATTGACCCCATTTTCAGACATCTAAAGACCCGTAAACATGCATATAGAATTTTATAGCATGTCGCCTTTGTGATCATAGCGCCATGCTAATCCAGCGAATCAGAAGTTGGTAAAAGCTTATTGTACATATTACAAAAGAACACATCATATTTCCATATGAATCCCATCAATCCTGCCACCTTCACACTTCGTCAAATTTGAATAGGTCTTAATGTCTGCAAAGTATTGGCCAGATACAAATACATGTCAGCTAACAACATGAAGAGAGAAAAAAATTGCTTGTTTTGGATAAATGAAAATGGACACTCAACATGCAGTATGTAAGTCTTTGGACCAGTCCAAAAGACATCTGGACATGAAGAAAGCAATGCTTTGGGTCAGTCCAAAAGACACCTGGACATGAAGAAAGCAATGCTTTGGGTCAGTCCAAAAGACACCCGGACATGAAGAAATTAATGCTTTGGGACACCTGGACATCACAGCCCATAAGTTTGGATGAGTCCAAAAGACAAAGCATTGCTTTAGGACATGAAGAAAGAAAGCAAAGGTTTGGGACAGCCCATAAGGAATCTTGACTAGAAGCAAAAAAGCTTTGGATGAGTCAGTAAGGAATCTGGAAATGAATAAAGCATTGCTTTAGGTAAGTCAATAAGACACCTTGTCATGAAGAAAGCAAAGGTTTAGGACAGCCCATAAGGAATCTTGACTAGAAGAAAAAAATCTTTGGATTAGTCAATAAGGAATATGGAAATGAATAAAGCATTGCTTTAGGTCAGTCAATAAGAGATCTGGACATGAAGAAAGACTTTTTGAGTTTTGGTAATCGAGTGTCATATTTTAAAAGTGGTAAGCATTTCAGGTAGGGAAGGTATATAGTTTGATAGTGATACGAATTCGTACATTTCTAGGCTTATATTACTTTAACAGACATGTGAGAGTCTGTTTTTGTAAAACAGTTAAACAAATACTGGCTATGATCAAGTACAGTTGAGTATAGACTGAGCATCAAGCACCAAGAACATCAGTGGTAAGGAGATTATTGGTGGTAGCAGACAATTCACTATGGAGGTCAGAGTTCCATTCTCTGAAAAGAAGTTATACTATATCAGTCAACCCTCTCCTATCATAAAACATCGTTAGAGTTAAAATTGAAAATAAATTTTGGCGGAAAGATGTTTGATAATTGACAAGGGTAAGTGTTTTATTGTTGTATCTATTGAGTTTTGGCTATGAAATGTACGCAAGAATGCTTACGTAGCATTTTAAGAAATCGGCTACTTCCACGTGCAGTGTATGCCTGCAGAAACAAAGAGAAGTTGTCGGCAAGTAAATGTGATTTGTGGACATGTACAAACCAGTTGAGACTAAGTACAGATGGGTCGAAGAGTGCAGGTAACGTATGTTCAGGTGAAATAAGAAAATATAATGTTGAGTTTCTAGTTAGTACATGCAAGTTAGGAAATAAGGTACAATCAGACTGAATGAAGTTCAGATGAACTAGAAATCTTGATTTGAATATCATTAGAGTGAGCTGAGTAGAGAACAATAACAGAGGAATAGTTATACACAGAAACACATGGACTATTTGCTTTAGTTCATTGAGTTCAAAATAAGTAGGCGTACTTTGTTGATGAATATAGATTTGTGAGACAACATAGCTTACGTCTGTGGATGGCTTTGGACACTTTCATGTCCTGATAATTGAAAAAGCTTTTCGCCATTATTCTCTTACTTTCCTTGATTTAAGTATTTCCACTGGAAACATAATGATAGAGTTTCTAGTCTAATTAAATAAATTGAAATCAGTTAACGAGAATGTTATGTTATGAAAATCCAATCTATTGACAAAACTGTAACTGTCTTAACGATCACGCATAAAGTGTCCCACTGCTATTTATCAACTGATACATTACATTGAAAAATATCCTTCTTCTACTTATCCCTTGAAACATGATATTGAAAAATATCCTTTTTCTACCTAAATCCTTTCAAACATCATACTGCAAAATATCATTCTTCTACTTTATCCACTTGAAAATCCTATTGAAAAATACCCTACTGATACTTATCAACTGAAACATCATATTGAAAAATACTCTACTGTTACGAAACCTC